GACTTTTGTTACTGTAATAATCATGAGAAATGCTATCCATTGCATTTGAAAGATGTTGATGTAATGCATGAACAGCAAAATGCACACTGAACAGTCTTAGAGGGCAGCACGATAGCTCAGTAGTTAGCACTGCTGCCTCACTGTGCCAGGGACCCAGATTCAATTCCACCCTTGGGCAACTGTCTGTGTGCAGCTTGCAGATTCTCTCCGAGTCTGTGTGGGTTGGTATTCCAGTTTCCTGCCACAGTCCAAAGATGTGGGAGTTAGATGGGTTGACCATGCTAAATTGCCCATAGTGTCCAGGGATGTGCAGGCTGGGTGGATTAGCCATGGGAATATAGAGTTATTGCGTAGGGGAGTGGGTCTGGGTGGGATACTCCTTTGGAGGGGTGGTGTGAACTCGATCGGCTGAATGGCCTGTTTCCACACTGAAGGGATTCTGTGATTGAGCCAAGGAAAAAGCTTATTTTAAAAATCCCAAAAAGTCACAGCTCAAGTTGTGTCAATGAACAGAACTAGACATATTTGGGGGGAAATTCATCACATTCCCAGTGTTCAACTAGAAATACAAGCACTTGCCAATGAAAATAGAGAGGAAATGGTTCACATCAAACCCAAACACACAAGATGCTGTCAGTCTCCAAGGCTGTCTTTGCAGCAGTACATAAACGGTTTCTTGTGGGATAGGAATTGAATTTTTTTTTTTTTAAAAAAAGGCCCTTTTTGAACTGATGAGACCATGCCATTTTTCCTAAATTTATGAAGTGCCCACAGCTGGGAGAACAAAAGTGGCACTTTGACACACCAATGACTACATGTGGTTTCAGGACAGCCTTCCAACTAAGCACAGCTGGATGATTTTTCATCTGGGAACATCGGATAAGATGGTCAGGTATTGTTTAAAAATTTTTAACATTTCACTTTTGGCCCTGTGTAGTTGAAACACACACCCAAGATCACTGTTAAAGCTCACAAGTGGCCTGAAAGCAGCCGTTTTCTGCTACTTCCTCCTCCTACGCAGGTTCAATTTTCTTCAGTTACCTCACAAATATCCGACAGCCAAGTTTATATGCAAATTTGGCACAAAACCATTTATCCTCCTTTTGTTGCTGAATAACACTATAGCCAAATCTCCTTTATTGTAGTTCAGGAGTCAGTTTAGTCATGTAAACAGTTGAACTCTTTTCAGGTGCATTCATACTACAGTAATGTTACCAGTACATTAAATCTATGCTCGCCCTGTCATATTTTCAACATATCTCCATATAATGTGAAGCCTATCATGTTTTGCACACCTAAAAGGGAGCAATGTATTTTTCTTGATTAACATAACCTGCCAAATAGAAGTCAGTAGATCTTTTTCGTGTAAGGAAATCTTCACATTAACATCCCCGCGTTTTTTTAAAAACAGAATAGAAAGCAACTTTCAAAAGGAAAATTTGCTGGTGATGAGGAAAGGGAAGGGAATGGAACTGGTTGTGTAGCTCTCCTAAAGGAGCCAGAATGAGCACAATGGGCCAAATAGCCTCATCATGTGCAAGGTTATACAATTGTCAGCATGTTTGCTGATTTTCAGTCAGACAACGGGGTCTAAAGAAAAAAACTACTGGCCAGTACTGGTAAAACAGTCAGTACACTGAACGATGGATAGGAATGCCAACCCCTGCCGATCAGTATCAAAGAGAGAGAATAAGGGCACAGACTGAAAAATGAGCTGCCAGCATTCAAGTAAAAGCATTTGGTCAGTGCTATGCACATGGCCGACCTGTTATAAAGCTTTTGAGTTTTAACTGCAAGTGCTGGTGTCAAGTAAAACGGAAAAAACACTGGAGTCAAGCTGCTTCATTTTGATGGAATGCTGGCATTGGGCCATGCACTGGTAACAGTTAGCTTCATACTCGGATTTTCCTAAATAGCTACTTTTGGACTTAGCCAGTTAAGCAATGCCTCAGTTTGAAAGTTCTCATCCTTTTCTTCAAGTCCCTCCACAGTTTTGCCTCTCTGTAACCTCCGCATAATCCTCCAGCGAGATCTCTCTGTTTAGATCTAACTCGAACCATCCCTGATTTGAACTGCTCAAAAAAAAAAATCGGTGGTGGCCAGGGTTTTAGCTGAGCGCTCTGGAATTCTCCCTGCAAACCACTATGCCTCACTACCTCTTGTTCCTGCTTTAAGATACTAATTAAAAAGTACCTCCATAACCAAAGACAAAACAGAAATTGCTGGAAAGCTCTGCGGAAGGATCATTCGAACCAAAACGTTAACTCCGATTTCTCTCCACAGATGCTGCTAGACCTGCTGAGCTTTTCTAGCAATTTCTGTTTTGGTTTCTGATTTACAGCATCCACAGCTCTTTCGGATTTTGCTTCCAAGAACAAGCTTTCAGCCATCTATCCCAACATTGTCTCATGTGATTCAGGATCAATCTTTACTCTATAAGGACCTTAGGACATATTACACTAAAAGCACTGCAAAGTCATCCAGTGTAAATAATCTTAATTATAAAAATCCAATATTTAAAGGCGTTTCAACATTTATAGCTGACATGAAGCAACCGGATTCGTTCAGAGTATGTTAATTTCTCCCAAGTTCTGCTGCAGGCCTGGTGTTGTATGGAGAGAATCACTGACATGATGAGAAAGACCCAATCAGATAGAACATAAAAAAAATTTGTTTGAATAAAGTTGGCTGATTATTAACAACGACAGACATATCCCATAACTTATGGCAGAATAGCACTACAGAAAGCAAGGGTTACATTGATAAAGCAGGTAGGCCCTATGAGTGGAATAGTGAGAGACAAATTGTACAAAATAAACAAAGATTTTGGAGGATGCTAGAAGCCAGGTAAACCTCTTCAGGTTTGGAAGGATGTTTCTGATTCACTTCAGTTCTACTCATGTCTTATCTTCGTAAACCTGAAAGCTTACTTAAGAATAGCTATCATTGCTCATTTTAAATATTTTTCTCCATTATTTTTTACACATCTTGCATTTTATGAGGCTTGAAATATTGAACATAAATCCATATTGCTCGCCATCCTAAATGGAAAACATTTATGACTATCCAAGATAAAAGTTTAGGATTATTTAATTAGATTTAAATAGATTAAATTAGATCTTACACCTAATCTCCATCCATTTTCTGGCTGATCTTAGGGCTATTTCCAATACTGAAAATGCACTCAAGTGTGGCAAAAATGCACTTGGATTTGAAAAGTGATTCATCAGCAAGGTAGTAAGAGAGTAAATTTGTAAAAGATTTGTGAGACTGACCTTTGGGTTAGCAGTCTGCACTGTCCTCTTTAAAGGTTGTTTTAGTAAGGGTTGTTAACACAAACACTGTTCAGAAGTATATTCCACCCTTATTTTAAAATACACTAATTGGAAGATAAAACTTATGGCTCATTTTTCCACTAAAACATAGGAACAAATTAATAAATGTCCCTGGGGACAGTGAACTCAAGTTACTGAAAAAGGGAAATATTAAAGCTTGGGAAGATTCTTAATTGAGCCTTAAGTTTTTTTTTAAAAATCAGCTTATAACTGTGTCACTTTACATTCCCTTTTTAAAATTATGGTTGAAATTAACAATTTTTTTTAATTTGGAAAACTAAATACAGAGCAAGGATATCAATGAGAAAATCAGGTGGTATTTGACCTAGATTTTCAAGAAATGTATTTTAAGTAATTGTATTAATTTCTGATTCCATCCATGCAGTTGAATTATGAGAATTGTTTCTTCACTCCCAGTTGCAGTTTGGCATGTTTATGTCATTAGCTTATTCCTTACCTCTTTTGATGAATAAATTCCTTGGTTGTTTAATTGAGATTTGTTACTTAATGAACATGGCAATGGGGTGACAGAATTTACCTCCAACAAGTGCAAGAGGCCAAATGTGCATTAGATGTATGACAGGCTCACATGTCTCAAAGTATTTCACATGGACAAGATAAAGTGTAATTGTCAGTAGAAGCAGATTGAGAGAGCCAAGAATAGCTTGACCAGGCTTATCTTTCTAGAGACATACATACTATCATGACGTTTATTTATTTTGCTTTGTGAATTCCTACATCCACATTTATCCTAAAAGATTCCCTACATAATTCGATCACACTGCACGTACACCCTCCCATCAGTGGCTATAGTGTTGGGCAGCACGTAGACTTAAAGTCATAGAGCTGTACAGCATGGAAATAGATGCTTCAGTCCAAATCATCCATGCCAACCAATTAATCTAGTCCCATTTTCCAGCATTTAGCCCATATCCCTCTATACCCATCCAGATGCCTTTTAAATGTTGAAATTGTACTGTCCTCTACCACTTCCTCTGGCAGCTTGTTCCAGACATAAACGACCCTCTGTGTGAAAAAGTTGCCCCCTCTTTCCACTCTCATCTTAAACCTATGCCCTCTAGTTTTAGACACCCCTACCCTGGGGAAAAGACCTCGGCTATTTACCCTATCCATGCCCCTCATGATTTTATAAACCTCTATAAAGTCATCCCTCAGCCTCTGATGCTCCAGGGAAAATAGCCCCAGCCTATTCAGCCTCTCCCTATAGCTCAAACCCTCCAACCCTGGCAACATACTTGTATATCTTTTCTGAACCCTTTCAAGTTTCACAACATGCTTCCTACAGCAGGGAGACCAGAAATGAATGCAGTATTCCAAAAGTGGCTTAACCAATGTCCTGTATAGCTGCAACATGACCCCCCAACTGCTATACTCTGTGCACTAACTAATAAAGGCAAGCATACCAAAAGCCTTCTTCGCTATCCTATCTACCTGGGACTCCACTTAAATCAACCAGTTCAGACATGTTTAGAGACGTCTTGGGAGCAGGTGGGTCTTGAACCCAGGTCTCCTACTCCAAAGGTTGGGGCACTACCACAAGATCCTGTAACATATGCAATACACCAGAGAGTGTGGCATCCGAGGTATAATGGGTGAAGTGCAATTGAAATAAATGTGGGACTTAAACTGCACAAGAGACTCATGAGAAATGGATCCATATTTTAATTGTTAAGAAAGCAAGTTATGTTACAACAATATAAGTACAAAAGCAAAATACTATGGATGCTGGAAATACTCAGCATGCTACAACGTTTCTCCTACTCGCCCCAAAATATCTCCATTGTAGAAGGTTATCCATTATTGCACAACCGTGACATCTCCACTTTCTAAATTATTGAACTTCTTTTGGGATTTACCAAATCATGAGCAGTTTCATCTTGTGGGTTAACAACCACAACAAACCAGATCAACACCAGCTTTATGTCACAAGGGATATTTAAACCGAAAAGGGGGTGGGGGGGGTGGTGGGAGATGGGGACTTTTCATCCCACTGGTGAGGTACAACAACAACAGATCCAGGATCTGGAAGGACAGTGCCCCTGGACAGTTCAAGCTGAAAGAGAAAGTCTACTGTTTGGTAGAATTGTAAATATGATACACCAACCTTCAACAAAGTCAGCAGCTGCATGCATGCGCTGATTTGTTGCTCCTTCATCTTCAGGGGTGTTCAGAAATTCTAGTGCAACCTCAATAGCTTCCACCAGCTCATCCCGTTTATCCTTTCGGACTGGTTTCTCCTCAGGGTGCCGCGTCAGGCCCATTTCCAGCTGGTACACTTTCTGTAAAGTGAAGCTCTCGAACGGTATCACCGAATATTCCGTGGGCAGTCTGACCGCAGAGTAGACCTCTGCTTTGTCAATCTGAGAGTGCAGAAATTCGAGCAGACCTGCCTGTGTTTTCTCTGGGCTGCTCCGGTCAATATGAACTCCGAGCGAGTCACCATAATGATCCTGTGCAGCCTTCAGCTGCTCGCTGCGTTCCTGCAGTTCCTCTTTCAGTTGCGCAATTTGTCTCTTTAAACTGGTGATGTAATTACGGTGTTGCTGCTCACGTTCCTCAAGCAGCACCTGGAAGTTATCCTTACCAGTTGTGCCACTCACCCTCGGCAGTATGGGCTGGCCATCTTCCACCTTTGGAGTGCATGCCAACATGTACAGCAAGGAAACTATGCAACACAGTAGAACCAATACCATAGCGAGTCGCCAAATCCATGTTGGCATTCCTCTCCGCATCATTCTTAACCACATCTAGCCTATCTGGAGCGCTAGTCTGGTTAATCAGTCCAGATCGATTTGACAGTGACACCATCACTCCCTGAACTAAGTGGTTCAGTCCTTGCAATTCTCCACATTTCCAACGAGGGTTTTCCTCTGACGAACACTGGAAGGACAAAGACAAAAAAATAATAATCAGCACCGACTGCACGTCTCGAAAAGTTCCCTCATTAAAGTACAATGCATTTTGTTCTCTTTCTATAAAAAGAATGTTTATTGCTTTTCTGTGCTCAGTATGTCCACCAGACCAGAGTTTGATTAATGCAAACTTGTTCACAATGCTGAAGAAAAACTGTTTTGAGATCCTCTTAAGTGGACATAAATCCACTTGTGTTGCCTTCACATCTTAGTTCTGGATTTCCCCAGCAGAGGAAATGGTTTCCACCCTATTGAGTGTCTTCATTATTTTAAGCACCTCAACCAAATATGTTCTAGATATTCTAAGCACCAGGGAACATAAACCAGCTCTATACAACACTTTCTCCCAGTTTAACCCTTTAAGCCCTTGCATCCTTCTGTGCAGTAGATCAGATAAAGGAGCTTAATCTTTTATCATGGACAACTAATTATTTAGAAACCAAAGAAAACAAAACAAAGCTTCCCAAATACTAAGTGAAAAAGCTGGAATTGTGTATAACCATTGTACGAATGATTACTCAGAAGTCTCATTCTAGGTCTTTCCCTTCAGTTGAACTTCCAAATATGCTTCTCTAAGTATGGCATGTAACTACAGCTGTTGAGAATTAGACTGATGGAATTGAAATCTCTTCAGCGTCAGTGACACTCTTCATGATGGTTATGGAGTCTTCAAACAAGATGAGAAGTGTTGCTTGCAGTACTTAGAAGCTATCAAAATAAATTAATGTAATTTCATCTGCAAACTTTTGCACTATTTTCTTTTTAGCCTATCAGCCCCTTCATTTGACACCTTCTTTACATGAGAAAGATACATCCTTGTACTGTTCCTTGCGTCACACTGGCTGCAATCCAATTTCCACATTGTACCTCTGCAAAGTTTTAAGGAGACATCATAGTTTGGATAGACTTTTTAAAACTTCATTTATAAGGTAATGGTACTGTCTCTAGCCATTCTGCTGCCATACAGAGTCATAGGATGGACACAAGGAGATCTACTTTAGCTTTCAGAGGCAGTAGTTACCAAGTCCCTAAGGTCCTGGTATTTATATTAGGCCAAACGTGGCTCCACTTATTCCTATCAAGCAATAAACCTCGTGTTGTCTATTTTGTATGTAATCTGATGGGTTTTTAAAAATTCATTCATGGATTGAAGGCCTCACTGGTTAGGCCAGCATTCGTTGCCCATCCGAGAGGGCAGTTCAGAGTCAACCACATTGCTGTGGGTCTGGAGTCATGTGTAGTCCAGACCAGCTAAGGATGACAGTTTCCTTCCATAAAGGACATTAGCGAACCAAATGGATTTTTCGACAATGGTTTCATGGTCATCATCGGACTCTTAATTCCAGATTTTTATTGAAACCCGGGTCCCCAGAACATTACCTGGGTCCCTGCATTAACAGTCCTGTGTTAATACCAGAGGCCATCACCTCCCTTTTATCACTTTATTCTCTTTCTCCTTTACCACTAATACTGAAGAAACTCAAGAGAAAACAAAGCCAAAATAAAGGAGGATTTGCAGCACGGTGGCTCAGTGGTTAGGACTGCTACCTCTCAGCGCCAGGGACCCGGGTTCGATTCCACCCTCGGGCAACTGTCTGTATGGAGTTTGCACAATATCATTTCCGTGTGGGTTTCCTCCGGATATTCTGCTTTCCTCCCACAGTCCAAAGATGTCTGGGTTAGGCAGACTGGCCGTGCTAAACTGCCCATAGCATCCAGGGATGTGCAGGCTAGGTGGGGTTAGCCACGGGAAATGCAGGATTACAGGGATTGTACGGGTCTGGGTGCAATGCTCTTAGAGGGTCGGGGTGAACTCAATGGGCCAAATAGCCAGCTTCCACAGTGTAGGGAGTCAATAATACTATTGAGTTCTATGAATCCTTACCCATTACTACATACTGATGGAAGTGCCAAATACCAGAAGGTACTGGGAGTCATCACCTGGGACATGGTTGTAGCGGTGTGGATCTTACCCCCAAAACAAGGGAAAAAACATCCAGAAGACCTAAAATAAAATTTTTTAAAAATTCAGGCAGTGAGAGTTTATAACTTTAAGAGCATCACAGGAGATACAATGGTCAGTCTGCAGCCGAAATGAAATTATTGACAGAAAGAGTAGTAGCCGCAGAAGTGAAAAGGCAAGCCTTGCACTCTAAGTGTGGAACTTCATTCAGTAGCTGGCAAGAAGCATGGAGGGTAGGGAAGGAGAGAAAGCACAGCTACTTTCTGAAAATACTGAGGTTTTAATGAAGGAGGATCTGTAAATAGCAGGCTTCAAGAGGTAATTTTAATTTACAGGAGCAGGAATCACCAATTGAATCACAGTTTTGACGGGAACATTTATAAAGGCCATAGCCAGAGAAATTTATAAATAAAATTGTGATTAAGAAAGTACTTATTAAGGTAGACCGTGAAAGAAAGGAAAATGGCCACTTTTTCTGGGAAGAGGGGCGAGAAAATGCCATCTTGGCTGCAGCAAAACCCAAAAAGAAGCTGTTAGCCACCATGTGATCATCATCAAAAAGGTAGGAATTCCCAGTCAGCCTTACAGGGATACAGTATACAAAGAAACAAATTCAAAAAGCTTGCAAGCTGTCAATTACTGCAGAACAGCCAGTAACATGATTTAAAACAGCATTGCCACAGTCCTACCAGACTATAGGGCAGCTCCCTTACTACAGAAAGCTGACTTGTGGTGGTTTAACCTGACAGTCACCACACTCGGGCAAGTGGAAAGGAGAATCCTTCAGGCTAATCTCAGTCAATGTGGGAATTGAATTCACACTGATAGTATCATTCTATATTGCAAACCATCCATTCAGCAAACTGAGCTAATCAATCCCAATTTACAACGTTATTGAAATAATTCAAGGCAGTATTCCAGAAATAGACTTTTCTAAAACTGGCTAACAAAAAATTCATCCAGAGTCTAGCAAATTCTTTACTCATTAATTTAAAGCAGCATTGCTGATACAGGAATACAAGTTTAAAAGAACAGAAGTTTAAAGTATAGCAGATTTAATATTAAAATTATACAGATTTAAAATACCTTCACAGCAATAGGATTAACCAGGACACTGAGAAGAAATTCAGATTCAAGGTCTAAGATAGACTGTACAGAACTCAAGTTTGGAGTTATTTTAAGACAGTTCAAGATACAATGGTTAATAATAAGGAAATGCCAAGTCAAAAGCTGAACAGGTAATGCACTTTAATATTCAATTGGGTCCATTTATGAACAATGACATTGACAGACAAAAATATAAAGAGTAACAGACACAGATTTTGATTATTACTTCAATTTATGACCAAGTAAAATCCTTGAATGAGCAAGATTGAACAAAGTTCACAATCCAGAAGAATGCATTGATAATTCCATAAATGTCCTCTGCAGATTAGTGGAAAACTGTTATTATGAAGCCGAGAATTCAGAACTCTTAAGAGACAGAACTATTGCTGGAATTCTTGAATGAAACTTTGTCAGATTTTTTGAAGGCCAATGTTGTTTTAAGTTTGAAGAAACCTATTCAAATCATGCTGGAAGCAGAAAGCAGAAAGACTGTTTGAAGGATCCTGAAAGGAGATCAACACCACCTCAAAACAGCAACAGAGTATATTAACTTCATACATTGTGGACACCCTGGACAGACATATGACAAGCTGACACAGAACAGCATTTACAGGGGGGCAATAGAAGCTTAAGTTTAGACATTGAGCAGCCATCACTAAAGAATGCTACATTTGCAAGACTATATGCCAGTTTTAGAAGATATGCTGATGTCTTTCACTATTTCAGAACTGAGGAAATACTGGTGGTCACACGTGTAAAATGGCCTACGTTGTAGAACGTATATCACCACTTGAAAAGATAACTTCATTTGATGAGATACCTCCATTGGAGAACATATTCAAGGTATTCCTAAGGGAACCAGTTAATCCTGACAAGTGAGAAAAGATAGAATTTGTCTGGGTCAATGGATATCCTGTTGCTCAATGCAAGAGCAACTGTTATAGTCCTACCAGACTGGTTACCATGCCTGAAGATTCAGGAGTTACATCTTGGAGAGAAGACTCCACAGGGGTGATGGAATAATTATCAAAAGCACAGAAATGCTTCAATTTTACGCTAAATAATAACACACAAGTTAAAATGTGTATGCTGCTTGCAATTATCTAATTCACCTTTGAGCTTGCATGCATGTCTCAACCTCAACTTCATCATAAGAGCTGGAGGAGATGAACAGCCTCCCAGAGAATGAAAGGTCCAGAACCAAACAACTATCAAAGCACTGGTCCTTGAATAGACCATTCTTGACCAGTCAAGGGGCAGCCAGTAGAAGATATGACTGGGATTCCTAGACTCATGGGAGAAACAAAACAGAAGAAACAATTAAGTGGAATCTGCCATGGCAGGATTCCAACCCAGGTCCCCGGATTAACAGTCCAGTGATAATACCATAAAGGAACTAATTACCATTGTCAACAGAGAGGAAGTTACAGACTTCACAAGACTTATAAAACTGGGCAGTCAATACCAATGACAGAGACTGTGCTTACTGAACACCAATCTTTCAGCAACATGACAGAGTCCAAAAAAACTTAATTCAACAATCAACCAACCACAATGAGTGACTGGAGACGTCCAAGCTGATTCACAACTCAAGGGAGATAAGCTACGCAAGACTCCATGGGAACTAGACCAATAGCCAAGACAAAGAAGAAGAAACTACCTGGCAACTACTTGAGTCAGCAAAGGACAGTTCCCTCTGCAAAGGAAATTTCAGGAGATCAAGGTGCCTCCAGATAAAATAATAAACCAATGACATTGTCTACAAGGAACGATGTTCTCTGCAAAGGATAGGAAAGATATAAAGAGATCCTTCGGAAATCTGATCCGCAGTTCAGAACCAGGATCAACAATCCTCAAGCCAGAGACCTATCATTCCCCCAAACCCAAAGACGGTAAAGCGTAAACTGTTCCAACTGACAGCATTTATGAAGTCAGAGGCTTGGGGGAATGGGATAGTGCTAAGTGCAATCTAGTTCATGGACGTATTTGTATAATGGGAAAATTGGGGAGTTAGTGTTTGGGAGAAGACATTTAAGGTAATGATTCTAAAGGGGTTAATGCTCATATTATATTGGTGCCACCCATTTTACTGATATCACACACCGTCTGTAGGTGGAGACAAGGAGTTCTACTTTAAATTTTGGAGGGAGCTACAGTACCTGTACCAGTTCCCAAGGTTCCTATTAATTATGTCTGACCAAATGTAGTTTTAAAGATTCTGATCATACAGCAAACCTTCTTGTTATCTAAGGAAAGTACCTCTTCTACAGATTCTGTTTAGCATTATAACATTTACCATCAATCATTACACAGGTCCAAGACAAAGCAAATACACGAGTAGGATTGGTGGCACCGAATCACTCCAAGTAACTCTTATCCAGTACAACATTAGGGGAAGGCAATGGCCTAGTGGTATTATCACTGGACTGTTAAGTCAGAGACCCAGATCATGTTCTGGGGACCTAGGTTCGAATCCCACCACAGCAGATGGTGGAGTTTGAATTCAGAATCTAATGATGACTGTGAATCCATTGTCAATTGTTGGAAAAACCCATCTGCTTCACTAATGTCCTTTAGGGAAGGAAATGGCCATCCTTACCTGGTCTGGCCTACATGTGACTCCAGACCCACAGCAATGTGGTTGATGCTTCACTGCCCTCTGGGCAATTAGGGATGGGCAATAAATGCTGCCTAGCCAGCAAGGTCCCTCAATCCTGTGAATGAATAAAGAAAATAAAACGTACTGCTAGAAGTAGTAAATATCACAAGGTGACAGCAATAGTTATCTGGGAAAATATTACAAACTTCCTATTTCATATTGCGAACACAATTGACTACCTCTATGCTTGTGCCAATAATTAGTAACACAACATGTTGCCAAGAGTGAGCAAGTTTACTGATGAGATTTCATTGTACCTGCTGCAAAACAAAAATTGGTTGACGTGAAATGGGACTTTCACTTCAGCAACCTCTGTCAGAAGCTTGTGTGTCAATTTGGCAACTCAGGAATAGCAAAAGGAAATGTTAAACACAAGAAAATATAAAAAGTAAACTCAAAATCTTCAATAAAAAGTACATGGTCAAAACACAATGGCCACTGCATACTGAAAAAAACAGACCAACCTAGTTTAAAAAGGTTACTTGCCAACACAATTAATAACATTATCTGTTTTCTCAGCTATTCACATAAATGTACACAGTTAGCCAAAGTAGACATTGGTGCTGTCCTGTAGTAATTGATGTGGAGGTACCGGTGTTTGACTGGGGTGGAATAAAACCAGTCTGACTCCAAACCAAAACACAAACACATTCCAAACAAGGTCTCACACCTAACATGCATTGTCTGGCCTAAAATGTCACCTCTTCTTTACACTGATAAAACCTTTATTTCTCTCAGGACAGTAACTTCAGAGGAATTCAGGGATTTACATATACATATTGATCAATTAAAACTTTCTAACTGATTAAAGATTTAAGAGCATCTTAGGTTTGTTTACTACATCCTAATCAGTGGTGTGACCCTTTGATCTTTTACTTAGAAATTCTGTGTCTGATACTATTTCTCTCTCTAACAACCGAAGAAGGAGTAAGCCTTCAAAAGCTTGTGTTTTCAAATAAACCTGATGGACTATACCCGGTATCGTGTGACTTCTGACCTATAGTAATTGTTACCTTTTATTATCTTCAGGAATTATTTGTAATGTTTCACATACAAAAAAAGCAATGCTTCATTATGAAGACCCGACATGTCATAACACCAGGTCTCTCATGCAGTTTCTCAGTGGACAGGTTATACTAGAACGTTATGCTAGAACGTGTCAGCTGAAATGTGACATTACAAAAAATATGCCATTTATGAGAAGTGCAACATTTACAGGAAACCTAACACAAAATAAACAGAAACCATCTGTTGCAATGGATTCATTTTTTTTACTCAGAACATTGAATTATTCAGTAAGTTCAAATAAACAGCAGAAATACCACTGCAAAGTGCAAATACATTGCTTAAAAGATTACATTTATTAATACCTTCAAATAAATAAATTCTGAACTCCGGATAGATTTATTACAGATATCCTACATGTTGACATATTATCAGTGATTTATCTTTGAGTTGAATGCCTTGCCATGAACAGCTAATGTGCACCACAACATTTCTTGAAATAGCATCTCTACTTTCAAGACTTAGTCTTGACTTACAATCCTCACTGATTTCCATCACCACCTTAACCATTCTTAGTCTCTAACCTCTGAATTTACTGCCCTCCTTTACTCCCTAAAACTACTCTTCTGATATAGACTCTGTTACTCTTAACTATGCCAGATCATGTACCCTCACTACTTCACTGCAGTTACCACAAATAAAACTATCTCTGATCACCTCACTAAAACATTTCCCATTCCTCACTAGTACCCCTTATCACCCTAACCCTACCTTCTTCACTATCCACTCCTGGGAGGAAAAAAGGATCACTCTCTCAATGAATATTCACAACCCATATTTTCCAGCTTTTGGCCCATGATTCATCCTTGCATTTCTGTATCTGCTGATCTTCTCAATCATACTCTTGCCTCCATTTTTGACAGTCACTTTCTCAATAAAACTATTACTCCTGTTCGGCACAGTCATTCTCCAGAATACCATTCATCTCTACTCTCTCAGTCAACATGTTTGGACATCTATGGCAGAAAATTGGTTCAACAGACCATTGCCCAGATCTTGGAAAAAAACAGAAGTTGCTGGAAAAGCTCAGCAGGTCTGGCGGCATCTGTGAAGAAAAAAATCAGAGTTAACGTTTCGGGTCAGAGGAAGGGTCACCAGACCCGAAACGTTAACTCCGATTTCTTCTTCACAGATGCTGCCAGACCAGCTGAACTTTTCCAGCAACTTCTGTTTTCGGTCCTGATTTACAGCATCCACAGTCCTTTTGGTTTTTATCACCCAGATCTGGTCCAACCCTGCTTTGATAAAAAGTCCACAATGCAAAGATGATCTTAAATGCCAAAAATAATCTCCCACCTTCTGTTCATCATACAACATCTTAAGTAACCCTCCTGAGCTCTCCCACACTTACCTTCAATAACATGAATAAAGAGTTGATGTACTTTCTTATCAGAAATTAGTTCTATTGTTAGTTCTCCTTCCCCGGTCCACTAGGCCAAAGTTCTGTTAATGATGCCTACTGCCCTAGTTGTGAGTTCACATCTTTCCCTAGCTTCCATCCCATCTCCAACGTGAACATGTTTTGTCTTTAAGACGCTCCTCCTGTTCCTTTGACCCTATTTCCAACAAACAGCAGACCAGCCAACTTCCCTTCCCAGCTCCCGATCGCAGCAAAATTTTTAATGATTCCCATTCATCATGTTTTGTCCCCTACCTTTCAAACCTGCAGTGACCACCCAAACCACCTCAAAATGACAAAAACTTAACCTCTCTGATCTTGCAAATTATCACTGCATCTCCTGATGTGAAATGCCACCACGAAGCGTTGTGGCATGACATATCGATGATCCAAACTATCACGCTGTGATGCTTATGGTAGCTCCCATAACATAAGGATGAGACACATGTTGCACAGTTCTGAAGAAAGCAGCAATTTTTTTATTGCAGCACCTGGTAAAGGGAATGTCAGCACAGTTTTACTGGGCCATAGGGCCGCTCTCTCAACAGACAGAGCTGACTGATGGTGGCTTAAACAAAGGGGCACCATGCCACTGGGAAAGGGGAGAGGTTAAGAGGAAGAGTAACCTTGGTTAGCGCAGGAACTGAACTTACACTATCGGGGTCCCAAACCAGCCGCCCAGCCAAATGAACTAACCGACCCCCAGCATTTGGTATCTACATTACAATCACAGGCTCTTGTATGTCTGGGCTCAAGCTGATCAATTCAGACATATTGCAGAATGCTTCCTTCAGTGTGTCATACTGCAAGAGAACAAAGTTCAATAAGGTGTAAACCAGAGTATTATTGATAATTTTTAATTACTCTGTTCAAGCACATTATGACACACCTCTGGAGAAAATGGGACTTAAACCTGCCCCTAAAAATCCTAGAATCCCTACAGTGTGGAAGCAGGCCATTTGGCCCATCGAGTCAACACTGACACTCCAAAGAGCATACAACTACCCTACCCTATCCCTGTGGCCATGTATTTCCCTCGGCTAATCTACCTAACCTGCATAGCCCTGGGCACTACTGGCTATTTATCATGGCCAATCCACCTAACCTGCACATCTTTGGACTACGGGTGGAAACTCACACAGACACGGGGAGAATGTACAAACTCCACACAGACAGTTGCCCGAGGCTGGAATCAAACCTGGGACCCTGGCGCTGTGGGGCAGCAGTGCTAATGACTGAGCCATTGTGCCTGAGATAACAAGGTGTACAGCTGGATGAACACAGCAGGCCAAGCAGCATCACAGGAGCAGGCAGGCTGACGTTTCGGGCCTAGACCCTTCTTCAGAAATCT